CAAGGTTTTTTTTAAAGATTGTTCCAACAAGAATAAGTATACCTGCTTATACTTCTATACTTATGCTTATTATTATATACTTTATTCATTTATTCATTATTATTATTATTATTATTATTATTATTATTATTATTATTATTATTTGGTTAATCTTTGGTGAGATTAAGTATTATTATTATTATTACTATTACTATTACTATTACTATTGCTATTAATATTATTTGGTTAATCTTTGGTGAGATTCACAGCCTTTGGGGCTGGTTGGTAGCTCAACAGCTCAAGTCCTAACCAAGGACCTAGGAACTGTTAAGGTAACATCGGAGGATATAAGCTCTTCCAAGTAGGGTGGTTTTTGGTAGAATCAGAATGTTCAAGTCTGATAAATTTAAATTTTCCAAATAGCAAGTTATTATATTCTTATATATTATATTATCACACTTATACTTGTTTTCTCATACATGCTTGATAAACCAAAATAAATAAAAACATTTTGAATGTTATAACTGATATAATTAGGGGGTGGGACGACAGGGTTGCTGGCAGTCAAAAAGAACTGAGTGGCATTTGATAATATTCAAAGGTAGTACTTGTGTTGAGAATCTCAGTGCACTTGAGAGTCAACCTGCTCAAAGGATCAATAGTTCACAAAATATTAACGGGGAAAAAATGGTTGCTCGATTGCTTGGGACAGCAGAAGGAGATGAAATTTCAGGTTTTCAAAGAGGCTTTAAGGAAGGGTATGCAAAGAACTCTCCTGGTCCTGGAACAACTGAAGACCCTTCTAATCCGGGATCTGGTTTGCAAACATAGTCTGCTTCCTTGACAAAATTCCTGAGCCAGGATATGAAGGTGATACCTCCACTACCCCCTTCCTTGTTTCTCCTACCTTAATTGGGAGATATGGAAGAGAGAATAAGAGGCATCTTGAAGATATGTGTGATTAAATTCCTGCAGAAAGAGGCAAAGAAAGATGGGGGGGGGGAATATAGAAATATATCTATATAATGGAGGCACTTTAAAAATATTAGCTTTATTGTATGCTGTGCCAAGGTGGAAAGGAAATTGCTCCTTCTTAGCTTGCTTTTTTTTTAACAGCCCAGGAATTCAGTGTTGACAAAATAGGGTTTCCTCTTCCAGTTTCCTCTTTCATCTAATACAAGTTATTGTACAGTGATTTGATTTCAAGGGTACTTTCCACTCTTCCTCCTCCTTTCTCTCTTCCTGAATGTCCTTTCTTATGGGAGTTCCAACTTTCTTTGAGGTTTAATTGATTTTAGATTCTCACTTTAATCCCATACATGAGCAATCTCCAGAGGCTCCACTATCCATTATGAAAGGTCATATTTATTTTTCACTTCCCACTTTTTCCTCTTCCAGGGCAGTTTTTTCTCATTGCACTCCTTTTTCGCCACCTTTTCCTCTTGTTTGTCACTTTCTAAAACTGCTCCTATTAGGATATTGGTAGCTTGCTTTGAGAGGTTGATGTGCTGAGACTCACTCACTTCCTGGCATGGTTTTAAAGATGGCATTACCCTTATCCTGCCCCCTCCCCCTTTTCTGGTCTTTCCACTATACAAAGAAGAGACAATGAAAGAGAAGTTCAAAACTACTGTAGAAAGTTTTACAATTAAGTATCTATTTTATAGAGTAGTTAGAAGAAGGGAGTTGTCAGTTCTGGATGGTACTTCACAGTTGCACTAAAATTAAAAAGGCAACTTTAATTAGATGCTAGGTAGGCAAATTGTATAGTTTGTAAAAATGGTGGGGATTTATTTTTTGGGATACAGTAGTTTTTTAAATGGAAGCTGGAAGCGTGCCCTTGTGAAGATGTTGGAGCCAGTTTGGCATAGTGATTAAGCTGCTGGCCTAGAAACCAAGAGTCTGAATGGTAGTCCCGCCTTAGGCATGAAAGCTGGCTGGGTAACTTTGGGACCAGACACTCTCTCTCAGCCCAACCCACCTCACAGTGTTGTTGTAGGGAAAATAAGAGGCACCAGGAAGGGCAATTAAGTATGTGTTGTTGTTGTTAGTTGTGAAGTCTTGTCTGACACATCGTGGCCCCATGGACAACTCCAGGCCTTCCTGTCCTCTACCATCCTCTGGAGTCCATTTAAGCTCACATCTACTGCTTCAGTGACTCCATCCAGCCACCTCTTTCTCTGTTGTCCTTTTTTTCTTTTGTCCTTCATCGTTCCCAGCATTAGGCTCTTCTCCAGTGAGTCCTTCCTTCTCATTAGGTGGCCAAAGTATTTGAGTTTCATCTTCAGGATCTGGCCTTCTAAAGAGCAGTNTTTTTTTTTGTATTCAGTTGTAAATGTAGTTTGTATTAGTGTTTTTAAAAAAATTGAAAAAGAAGCAAATGGAACAATTAGCAAATAGTCTCATTAAATCTGCTATCTTCCCAAATAATCCAACGGTGTTTTGGTTTTTTTTGGAATAATCTGGATTTTGATCGAATTCTAAACAATTGGGCGAGAGAGCTTCTAGCACACCCCACATCATTGTTGCTTCACCCAGAGAGGGTGAATTCAAAATGGCAGCCTGAAGCGGGGAGGTGAGGCGCTGTCTCCGCTACACGTGACGTAGCCCCGCCCCATTCTCCTCCTCGGACTCCGCCTCCCCCTTCCCCTCCCCGCCGTCGACCAATTGCGTCACAAGGACCCAATAGCTCGCCGCCTCTGCTCACGGCTGGGCGTGGCGGCGTGCCAAGCGGTACTTCCCTCGCGGCTTGGAAAGTCCGCTTTCTTTCCCCGCCTCTTCCTTCTCCACCCGATAGTTTTTTTTAAATATTCGTCGCACCCGGCATCCGGGAGCCAATCCCGTGTCGCTTGGTGACGGCGAGTGGCAGGCGCCGCCGCCAATGGAGTGACTAAGGCGGCGGCCCGCGAATGGGAGGAGCCGGCGGCGGCGCAAGGTGTGTGAAAGGTCATGCCTAAGGAGGGGGGGGCGTCTCGATGGGAGCCGTTATCCGGCCGGGAATAGGCGGGAGCGCCGGCGTCGGGACTGCACAGGTGAGGCACAAAATCGGAGCCGTGAGGTAGGGTAGGGACCCATCCGTCCACCGGCTCGAGATCCGGAGGCGCCCCCACATCCTCAAGCCGCCTTTGTTCCCCCCTCCTTTTCGACCCCAGTGGATGCGGCTGCATTATCCTCCCCCCCTTTTTCCCCCTCTGGAGTCCTCTAGACAGGCTGGACTACAACTCCCATCATGCCTCAGCCAGCCCGTTGGGACGCCTTGCCTTGACATCGCCACTGCCCGTAGTTTTCTCTCTCTGCCACTCGCATCCTGTTTTTGGTCGGGCAGGACGTCGCTTCCTCGGAGAGCTCGAGGCACCTTCCGTGGGAGGGAGGGAGGGACTGATTTTACCTTGACGACAACCCTGTGAGGTAGGTTGGGGCAGAGAGCGAATGTAACTGACCCGTGAAGGGCAATTGCGACATGGAATTGGGGAGGGGGGCTTGGTCCCTTCACTCACTTTATTGGTGGTGGTGGGGAGACCTGGCTTTTTTTCTCTCTCTCCTCACTGGCCTCCCAACCCCCCTCCCCAGTTCCTATTTTATTTCAAGGGCATTTTCATTAGGGGTTTTTTCTAAATGGGTCCAAGGTTTTTTTTAAAGATTGTTCCAACAAGAATAAGTATACCTGCTTATACTTCTATACTTATGCTTATTATTATATACTTTATTCATTTATTCATTATTATTATTATTATTATTATTATTATTATTATTA